ACTAAGCATGGCTATAAAACACGTGGCCAACACTGGGTAAACATCCTGATGGGAACGTACACAAGAATTTTTGGAGCATCCCAGCACTCACGACAGGAACAACCAGTTCCAGTCATGAGTGGGAGGCTAATCAGCTCATGAAGGGGCTGCCAGGGGAAACCACTGGGTGGTGAGAAGGTGGGAAAGTGAAAGGGCTACCTGAACCCTCAGATTTCTTGTCCATGCTGTAGCAGTAGAAGGGGGATAAATTCAAGATAAATTTCCAATCATTAGATTCTATACCTGGAAAACCATAAATTTATACATTTGCTATATATAGAATCTAATTATTGGGTGGCCATCTTACAATCAGGATCATCTACTATTCAAGTAAATATGGTAATCAAAATAGCTCAGGAAATTCCAATAAATTCCAGTGGTCTTTTAAATCTTACCTCAAGCTGAGTGAATATTTTCTTAATATGCCTAAAACACCCTTCAGCAATTTCCATGTCTTCATCATATGTTTTCCCTTTAAAAATCGGTTGAGGGGCATTTGCAAAATACTGATGAAACGGGAAAAAACTGGAGACCTCTGCAACATCAGGAAGCTTACCACCCTTAACTTTAACTTTGCTAATATATTCCTCCCAACGAGACATTACCTACAGCAAAAACAACAAAAAAAAGAAAAGAAAAAAGAAAAGTATCATTATGACGTTATGTATGTATTGTCAGGCATTGTAAAGGTTCTTTTTAAAAAACAAAACAAAACCCTTTCAATATATTGCTTTTAGCATACTTTTTGCACAAAAACAATTTTATTGTTTGCTACTTTTCAAACACTCGGAGAAGAGGCATACTATTACAGAACTAGGTAACTGTTTTACTATGTTGGATTCTACAATGAAATCAGACATAAAATATGTGAAACAGTGACTTTCCAGTTATTTTATGGATCCTGAACTACAGTCGTCTAAAAATCTCAACAGTAAAAGTACTTGCTGGGATTTTCATATCTGAAGACAAAAATCCACTTAAAAAAAACTTTGCCAAGTAGTCATAAAAAGCAAGAATGTTCGCCTTTCAATGTGAGTCACCGGGCAGAGTTAAATACAACAGCAACATAACCAAGTAATGTTTATAATTATAGCGTCAGTTGCTATTTGCATTGTGAGCCACCAAACAATTTTTGTTCCTTTTCTTTTAAAGGCTCCGTTCTGAGAAATTAACCCCAGTTTCCACACTGAGGTCAGAGCTTAATCTTTCCACAAATATTTCATCTCTTACTTGGTATAAGAAGAAGTGTCCAGCTGTTTCACAGGTATAAGAAACATCTCCTGGGACCCCCAGACTCTCTTGTAAACGTCCAACCTCACGTAGAAGCTCTAATCTTCGAGCCAAGACATAATTAACTCTTCCATACCTGTGGAACAAAAGTATTGGTGATAAGGATATGCATTTTTTCTTCAGCCACGATAAACATTAAGGAATTGTTCAACACCAACATGTGGATGTCATAAAATTACTCTGTAAAACAAGTATTATAATTTATTAATGACCATTGAAAAAGAAGAATACTCCATTATCTGCCAACTACTGCCATCTAGATCAGTGGGGGACAACCTTTTTGGCAGGCACATCACAAATTAGCATCATGCCTTCTCTGTATGCCACTGTGTGCCCCGCCCAATCTGCTGTTCTGCTCCCTAAACTGTGCTCCTTGCCCCATCTGCTGCTTTGCTTTTTTGCTCCCTGCCCCATCTGCTGTCCTGTTTTCTGCTCTTTCTCCTATCTCCTCACCAGTCTGCTGCATACCACACAAACATGCTGCCTGTGCCACTTGCAGTATGTGCACCACACACTGGCCACCCCAGTCTAGATGTGCCCATGGTTCCCATCATTACAGTACACAAGTGCTTCACAGCCTAATAATCTTATCATCAATCTTCCTGTGATGTATGGAAGTATTATCCCACTTTTATATTGAGGGAAAAAAAAGAGAAAGGTGTTCAAGGTCACAAAGCCAGCAACTGAAGGTGCAGTTTCCAAGTTTTGAGTTATTAACTGTGCTTCCTTTTGCAATATGTAAAATATTCTTTGGCTCCCTTTTCATAATACAGACCAAGCATGTTTACAGTCACCTCTATTCTCATTCACTGGTGGCCACTGAATAGGGCATTGTGCCTACTGGCTGAGTGCCTTCTATTTGTAACCAGTAACATCTGCAGCCCTACTGGTATGTTCATGCCTAAGTTTAGGTCTTCTTTACTTAAGCTCACTTCCCTCAATCTGTGGGAGATGCAAAAGCATAAAATGACACAGGAAACCAGGGAAAATAACTATATAAAACTATTCCAGCTCTTTGCCCACTAGATTTTATGCAGGTATTATATGCTTAATGTTACTGGACTTAATGTTATTTTCAATGGACTTATAAAAGATCAACTCTGTATCTAAGAAAAGGTCAGGTTCTTAATTCTTAATGAACCTTGCTTTTATAAAATATGCTTTCATTATAACAAAAATAGAATTATCCTAGAAAATCACTATGCAAGTTTTATCTCAAGAAAAAACATATTAAATGAAGTAAAACATAAAAAAAATAGCTCTCTTTCACTGTAGGAACCAAGCTACTTGGTAATGGCTACAAGAAAAGTAAGCTTTTCTCCTAAATGAGACCCAAGCATCACAGCTGTAAAAAAATCAACTGGAATATCTGACATTTTTATATACGTGCCATTAATTATGGACATATTCTTGTCCGTAATTAATCATTTACCGTAACAGGATGGGTACTTTCATTTACATGAGCTTTAAAAATATTTAAAATAATACAAAGCAATGACTTAAACTTTTATAAGTGATTTCATGAAGAAATTACAAGTGGAGAGATTTGTATCTTGCAATGTTAGCTGTTCTATAATATGCAATATTCAGCACATTGCAAGTCAAAATTAAATTGAGTAAAGATTGAAAATTGAGAGAATTTTTGTATTAAATTTGCATTTCAGTAGACAGACTTGATAATATCTTTGTGTACGCACATGCTGGTATCTAGAATATATTTAATTTCAAACATTCAAAGGAAAATAGGTGAATAAGTAACTGTTTTGATTTTTTTGGAAAATAGAGGAGTTTCCTGCCTAACTACAGAACTTGGTATAATTTGCTTGGTACTGAAAACAAATGCCCTGAACTTAGGACTCTATTATAGCTGGACTGATACTGTTAGGACTTGAGCTTCCCTTCCCATAAAACTAACAAGTCCAGACAAACTTCTACTTATTTATTTACAATGAAAGTAGGAGGAATTTAAACAAA